CGTATTGGGCGAAGTTGTGATTTGCGGACTTCGCGTTTCACTTTGGCGGCGGCGATGCGGTTGGCTTCGTAGATGGCAGCGCCCGTCTTCACTGTTCTCCTCCATGTCGGACGATCGCGGGCGAGCTCTTCCCAGTTGGTCGTGTTAATGTGCAGGCGCTTCAGGGTGGACTTCATAGTATCTTTTTAACGGCGAATTTGGCCTCCTTGACGACGAGAACCCGTCGCGACGTCTCCGTAGAAGAGTCGTTTGGGTAGTCGCTCGTCGTGCATGCGCACCAGATGGCCGCTCCAGCGCAGCTGCATTTGTCTCAACATGGAGCAGATGCTCAGAATTCCCGTCCGTTCCAGCACTTCGGTGTCGGGGATGCGGTCCTGCCAGTTCAGCCTCAGGATGCGGCGGAGACAGCTGAGGTGGAAGTGGTTTAGTCGACGTGCCTGCCTCGTGTACACCGTCCAGGTCTCCGCTCCGTACTGTAGCGTCGGCAGGATGACGGTCTTGTACATCTTCAGCTTTGTGCTCAGTTGGAGACCATGACGATTCCAAACTGTGCTTTGGAGGCGACCGAAGGCTTGACTGGTTTTCGAGATCCTGTTGGCGATTTCGTCGTCGATCTTGATGTTGCGGGATAGCGCACTGCCCAGGTACGGGAAGTTCTCTACCACTCGCAGTTGAGTTCCATTCACGTTGATTTGCGGCGCGTTGGGGGCTGTGGCTGAGCTGGGAGGCGGCTGATGCATCACCAGCGTCTTCTGTGTGTTGATAACCAGCCCAAAGTTCTCGCAGGCGGCGGAGAATAGGTCCATGCTCCGTTGCATCTCCACTTCTGAGGTGGTGTTCAGGGCGCGTCTTTTGGATAAGGAGAAGGTCGCAGACATCGCTAATCAGTTTGTTTTTGAAGTTGGCTCCACAGTCGGCGTGGATTGAATGGGGTGCCCGAAGCGACAAATCCATTGATGGAGAAGTGCAGTCACCATAGAGGCTGCATCCTGTCGTTGTAACGGTGTTGCTTCTGCCCACTTCGTTAAGTAGTCGACCATAACCAGTATGTACCTATTACCGCTCGTCGTGTAAGGTAGTGGCCCGACTATGTCGACGCAACCCGCTGGAACGGGAACCCTGATGGCATTGATTGTAATGGTGTTCTTGGTTTCGGATTAGGTTCTTTAAAGGAAGCACATGTAGGGCACATGTTGCAAAAGATGGCTATTTGTTCACGTAAGCGGGGCCACCAGAAGCGTTGTCTCATCGCGGCTTCTGTTTTCGACTGTCCGACATGTCCTAGTTCACGGTGAATATCTTCGAGCACTGACAGTGTTAGTGAGCCTGGCATTATGAGTCGTGGCCTGCTATCTGTGGCGTCTTTAAAAAAAGTAATTCGTTTTCAATAAACAAGTGTGGCCATTGTGCTCGTAATATGATAGCGTTCTCCGAGGACCCGCGTAGTTCCTCGTCTGTTGGGCGATGTTTGCCGAGTAGCTGGTGATCATAGACGATGGCCGTATCTGGATCTGTGCTCTGAGCTATGGCCCAATGGTGTCGTGTTGGTTCGCTAATGGTGATTGTGGCAATTGTACTGGGATTTCCGATGAAATCTTCGGAGAGTAAAGGTGATGGACGCCGTGACATTGCGTTGGCGTTGGTGTGTTTGGCTCCAGAGCGGTATTGGCAATTAAAGTCGAACTGTTGTAGGTATTCCTGCCATCTTGCCAATTGTCCTTCTGCATCCTTCATTGACTGCAGCCATTGGAGTGCTTTATGATCTGTCCTAACGATGAAATGCTTGCCGAGAAGGAAAGGTCTGAATTGTTTAATGAAATTTATTAGAGCAAAACCACTGGCATCGGTATCTAGTATGAATGGTGGAGCATCTGTTTGCGTGCCAGGTAACATGAGAACAGGTGTCGGTACTAGTCGAGATTTTAATTCATTAAATGCGTTTTGGCATTCCTCGGTCCATTGGAATTTCCGGCCTTTCTCGGTGAGTCTGTGCAAAGGTCGGGCAACTTCCGCGAAGTGTAGTATACAGTTTCAATAATAGAATGCCAGTCCTACGAAACCCCGGACTTCGGTTGGTGTTTGTGGTGTCGGCCACGTTCGTACGGCGGCAATTTTGTCGGGTGATGCACAGATGCCGTCTTTGCTAATCTCGTGTCCTAAGAAGGTGACCTTCTTGTGCAGAAATTGGCATTTTCGTGGGTTCAACCGTAAGCCTGTTTCGCGTAGCGCCGTAAGGATTGCCTTCAAGTTGTCATTATTTTGTACTATCGTGCTTCCGAAAACTATGACATCGTCCAAATATATTAAACAACAGTGCGGGTATAGAGGAGTTAAAGCCAATTGCATGAGTCGTTGGAATGTAGCCGCTGCGTTGCATAATCCAAACGGCATGGTCTCGAATTCAAACTGGCCCTGTGGTACTATAAATGTGGTTTTATGTCGATCCTTTGGTTCCACTTCGACTTGCTAATAACCTGATTTAAGGTCGATGGTCGAAAACCATTTTGCACCAGCTAGGGCGTCGGGTGTCACGTCTATGCGTGGCAGAGGGAATGAGTCTCGCGTGGTGATAGCGTTCAATCGACGATAGTCAATACAAAATCGTAAGTTGCCGTCTTTCTTCTGAACTAGTTTAACTGGTGAGGCCCAGGGCGACTTAGAAGGTCGGATGACCCCTATGGCGAGCATTCTATCAATGTTGTAATTGTGGCGGAACACGACGTGCGGGTTGTCAAAGTGGTTTCGCCGTCCCTGTGTCAATGGCATGTCGAATAAGCGATGTTCGCCCTATTGATAAGTCGTTTCATGCGAACATGTCCGTAAAGTTGGCGAGGAGCGTTTTCAAATCCATTCTGTCTGTGTTGGAAATGTCGCCTATATCTGCGGTTGGTAGGGCCACTGCAACGGTTATCGATGCAATTACTGTGTCTTCATCCATATTTACAGTTGGAGGTGCCTGCGTTGTCTCAGGAGTGAAGGATAAGATGCGATCGTGTACATTAATAACACAGTGGTTGGAAGCCAGGAAATCCAGCGCCAGTAGGACGTCCCAAGCTAACTTATGTGCGATTATAAAAACGTGTTCCTTAGTAGCATTGGGGAATGTTATTGGAAGTTGGAGTGTGCCGGCGGTATGCATACGTGAACCATCAGCTGTAACTAGCGTAGGTATGGGACGTTCTGTGTCGATTTCGTCTATGCAGTTACTAGGCAGTATGTGGTTGGTAACTAACGACGCTGTAGCGCCAGTGCCAACTAATGCCTTAACTGAGCGACCGAAGACTTTTGCAATAGTATAAAATGGAGCGTTGGCATTTAAGTTATCAGAACAAGTAGGAACGCATACTGTACCCGAATCTTCATCTCTGGCGGTTGGTTTCGTCGTCGTGCTGCATGCATAACTGTTTGGCGTATTGGGACTGCGTTGCGGTATATATTGGTTTTGTTGATAATTTGCGTGGTATGTTGGAAATCGTACATTGGCGTTTCCTCGGCCTGTCGCCGTTCTTGTATCTTGCCTGTACGTCCACGGACGCCATAGCGGTTGTCCATAGCGGTTGAATCCTCCTTGATTTCCTGGCCTTGGTGTTGGTGTGTTGGTCAAGTTGTGTGCCTTGTTCGCCTGCCGGTAGCGTTCGACACGCGCTATCGCGTCTTGGAGTTCAGTCGGGGGGTGCATAATTAACGTGTGATTTAGGTCCGGTAACATCAAGCCTTCGAAAAAATGGTGGAGAACCACTTTCTCTTTGTCGGCTTGTGCGAGTGTTGGGTAAGCCGCATCGGCAAATCGAAGTAAATCTTGGGTGTAATGCTGAGGCCAGTCAGTCAGTCAGTGTATTTGAGGGAAATAGGCTTACGCCTTTGAACTCCCTATTTGTACATAAAAAATCGATAAACAAGCAAAAATGTGAAGAAATTACAGCATTAAGTCAATGCATACATTGATTCACATATGTCACTAGTCACATGGTTAAAAAGTCACATAGTCCGCTTGTTGCTGCAGCATATATCTGTCAAGGCGACATTTAAATGTCTCCACAGATTGAGACATAACAACCGTTTCGGGCAGGTTATTCCACGGTGCCACGACACGGTTGGAGAAGAAATATTTTCTCACATTCAGTCTACCGTGTGGCACACGTAGCTTGAAGGGATGTCCCCGGAGGTGAGTTGTAGTGGCGAGTTGGAAAAAGTCATCGCACCGAAGGGCACAATCCAAGCCGCGCACGATACGGAAAGTTTGTATCATGTCTCCGCGCAACTGCCTATAACTCAGAGGATAGAGATTAAGGTTAGTTAAGCGGATCTCGTATGGCAGTGCACTTTGACCTCTTACTAATTTTGTGGCTCGCCTCTGCACCCTTTCGAGCAGATCGTAATCCTGGTGCGTCCACGGTCTCCAGGCCTGAATTGCATATTCGAGATGGGGCCTTATAAACGTGCCGAAGACTTTGGTGAAGCAGTCTTCATCGAAAACTACGAATGCCCGCTTGATGGCATATAGCATTGA